TCCCCTATGGGTTATGTGGAGTATTATGCAAAAGGGAAATAGCTTCTTTTTCTTCTTTTTTTTTTTTTTTTTTTGTAATGGGGAATTGACCCCAGAGTACTTTACCACTGAATTACATCTCCAATCCTTTTCGAGACAGAGTCTTGCTAAGCTTCTTAGTACCTCACAAAGTTGCCCAGGCTGGCCTTGAATTTGCCATCCTTCTGTCTCAGCTCCACAGTCTCTGGGATTACAGGCATGAGCCATTGCACCCAGCTTGGTTAGCTATTATTCCTGATCATGGTCACACTGAAACTACCTCCCATCTTTTTCCCTGTCCCTTTTGAGTGTGGGACACTCAAAAATATTGGGCCCTGTTCCAAGGGCCCTTCCCCCTGTCAAAATACATGTTAAAAAATGGTAAAACCCAGCAATATTCCAGACACATATCCAAAAGAACTAAAAGCAGGGACCCAAAGAGATGTATGTCAGTACTGCAGCATTATTCATAATAGCCAAAAGGTGGAAAAGCCCAAGTGTCCATTAATAGGTGGATGGATTAAAAAAAATATGGCATATACGTACAGTGGAATATTATTCAGCCATAAAAAGGAATGAAGGTCTGATGTATGCTATTCTATGAATGAACTTTGAAGACATTATGCTTAGTGAAATAAACCAGACACAAAGCCAGATGTTGTATGATTTCACTTATCTGAAATATTGTGAATAGTTGATTCACAGACACAGAAAGATTAGAGGTTATCAGAGGCTGGAGCAAGGGGGGAATGGGAAGTTATTGCCTAATAGGTTCAGAGTTCTGTTTGGGGTGATGAAAAGGTTTTTGAAATAGAGGTGATGATTGCACAACATTTTGAGTATAATTCATGCTGCTGAATTTATACTTAAAAATGGCTTAAATGGCAAACTTTGTTTTATATAAATACCATAATTTTATTTATTTATTTTATTTTTTTAGAGAGTTAGAGAGAAAGAATTTTTTAATATTTATTTTCTAGTTTTCGGCGGACACAACATCTTTGTATGTGGCGCTGAGGATCGAACCCGGGCCGCACGCATGCCAGGCGAGCTCGATACTGCTTGAGCCACATCCCCAGCCCAATACCATAATTTTAAAAACCAAGGCTGGCATGGTGATCAGCCCCTCCTCTTAACTCCAGTCCTCAATGACCCATGCCAAATCCTGGCTACTCAGGAGGCTGAAACTGAAGGATCACAAGTTCAAGGCCAGCCTGGGCAATTTAGCAAAACCTTGTCTAAAAACAAAAAAAGAAAAAAATGTTGGGGGCGTTTCTCACAGGCAGAGTACTTGTCTGGTGTGCACAAGGCCCTGAGTTTGATCCCCAGTGCCCACACAGATAAAAACTCAAGTCATATATACAATTTTTACTTGTCAATTAAAACAAACAAACAAACAAACAACAACAACAAAACACCACACTCTTTGAAACTACAACTGGGTGTCTCATTGATCCAGCATTCTGCATGACAGAGGAAAGAGAGGAATCCTAGGATGGATGAATTTTCCAGATTAATAATCCACCTTTTATTTGATCCTTACAACAATGAGGAGGGCTATCACTTTACAGGCGGGAAACGGGCAGCCCTTTAAGGTCACGCTGTTTACCCAAGGCTGTGCTCTGGGTGGGTCATGGAGCTGGATGGGAACCCTGTCTCTATCCAGTTCTCCTTACTCCAAGCTGTTCAAGCTGTGCTTGGACCTCTTTCTAAACAGATAAGAAGGTTGCCTTTTTTTTTTTTACCCCCCTCTGTGATACTGTAGGTGAACCCCAGGCCCCCTGCATACTACACCCTCTGGGCCACTGAACCACTCCCAACCCAGAGG